ACAGACCAAGAACAGACTCTTGTAAAAAATTAGAAAACATACATTTTTTCATATTTTTTAGACTTTTGGGTATTAATAAACATTGTAGTTTATAAAAGTGAAAAAAAAATTGGTTAGAAATGCAAAAACCAAGAACAGACCAAGAACACACCAAGAACAGACCATTGTAAAAAATTAGAAAACATACATTTTTTCATATTTTTTAGACTTTTCTTTGGTCTGTTCCAGGTTTTCTCATTTCTAACCAATTTTTTTTTTCACTTTTATAAACTACAATGTTTATTAATACCCAAAAAGTCTAAAAAATATGAAAAAATGTATGTTTTCTAATTTTTTACAAGAGTCTATTCTTGGTCTGTCCTTGGTCTGTTCTTGGTCTGTTCTAGGAATTCTCATTTCTAACCAATTTTTCTTTTCACTTTTATAAACTACAATGTTTATTAATACCCAAAAAGTCTAAAAAATATGAAAAAATGTATGTTTTCTAATATGTTACAAAAGTCTGTTCTTGGTCTGTCATTGGTCTGTTCTTGGTCTGTTCTAGGTTTTCTCATTTCTAACCAATTTTTTTTCACTTTTATAAACTACAATGTTTATTAATACCCAAAAAGTCTAAAAAATATGAAAAAATGTAAGTTTTCTAATTTTTTACAAGAGTCTGTTCTTAGTGTGTCATTGGTCTGTTCTTGGTCTGTTCTAGGTTTTCTCATTTCTAACCAATCTTTTTTTCACTTTTATAAACTACAATGTTTATTAATACCTAAAAAGTCTAAAAAATATGAAAAAATGTATGTTTTCTAATTTTTTGCAAGAGTCTGTTCTTGGTCTGTCCTTGGTCTGTTCTAGGTTTTCTCATTTCTAACCAATCTTTTTTTCACTTTTATAAACTACAATGTTTATTAATACCTAAAAAGTCTAAAAAATATGAGAAAATGTAAGTTTTCTAATTTTTTACAAGAGTCTGTTCTTGGTCTGTCCTTGGTCTGTTTTTGGTCTGTTCTAAGTTTTCTCATTTCTAATCAATTTTTTTTTCACTTTTATAAACTACAATGTTTATTAATACCCAAAAAGTCTAAAAAATATGAAAAAATGTATGTTTTCTAATTTTTTACAAGAGTCTGTTCTTGGTCTGTTCTTGGTCTGTTCTAGGTTTTCTCATTTCTAACCAATTTTTTTTTCACTTTTATAAACCACAATGTTTATTAATACCCAAAAAGTCTAAAAAATATAAAAAAA